CCAAACATTTTTCTAATAATTAGTTATAATAATAATAATTATTATTACTATTACTTCTTATACTATATTATTTTTACAATTAGATGAGATCTTTATACAATGAATGAATGTCGCAAGAGATTAAGGAATTAACTACAAAAGGTCGAATCAAACACCTATAATATGATATTGTTGCAAAATAGGTTCAAATTGTATAGAATACCGTTGATACCCAACTTATTAAGCATTTCTTTAAATATTATAAAATTTCAGTTTCAACTGATGGATTAAAGAAAAATTTAATTGTTAATTATAATTAAGTTGAAGAATATGAAGCTAATAGATTTATTTTTAGTAATAGCAAAACAACTCTAATCCAACAAAGTCTTTCACTTCACCAATATTTGCACCACCAAGATTTTTCGCTCCAATAAGGCTTCTTGCCTCAGCAACACTTTTTACTACAAGGCTTCTCACCTCAGCAACATTTTGTTCAACAAGACCTTTTGTCTTAGCAACACTTTCTATCTCAAAAAGGCCCCTCTCAACAACACCTTCTGTCCTAACAGCACCTCTTATACTATCAGTATTGGGAGATTGTGGAATGTAGTGTAATGCATAAATTACACAAAACCCAAGTAAAGCAGCCAAATAAATCTAAGGGATCAAAGGATACGGAAGCCTGCTTGAGAAGTCCTGAGTAGAGAGATAATACAGATCTACTATATAAAGAATTATCATCTGAGGAACCAGATACCGAAGGCAAACTAAATGAGGACCAAGTGTTTGGTAAGCACTATATCAACCAGGCTGCTAAACCAGAGGAAAAAAGATTTATTTGGAATACTAGAAGACACCCACTGGTCTCTTCTGAGCCATCTAGATTAGAAGTTTATAGCATCGACATTTAGCATTAAAGTACTGTTAATAGTCTGTAAAGTGAGTGCTAGTGTTTGGATAAACTTTGCAAAGGCACAGAGTAGATAATAATAGCGAAGATAAAAAGCCGCAAGTATTTAGCCACGGCCTAGGCATAAGTTACTAAAAATCTAGATGATATATGTGTAGAACATAGACCACTCTAGTAGGTTTACTACAAGAATAAAGTAGTCCTAAAGGCCTTAGCGGCAGTTCCTCTTTAGGGAGAATATCTGACAGCACTAAGTTGATCAGAGGGTTTAATTGGATAACTCAAGTAATTAATAAGAACAGAAAACTTATTTAGAAGTAATTTTTCTAAATAAAGAAAAGCAACAATTTTATATGGCAGAGGGTCTAATAGTCTTTGAGCAAACCCTACAAGGATATATTCCAGTAAATATTTGATAAAACTTCTTGTTAGTTAGATTCTAAAATGCTTTTATGAGCAGAAAGAAGCATATTTCTGAAAAATTAAAGAAGTTTTTTAAGATATTAGTACTATCTCTTCAATCAAATCACTTATATACAAAAGAACCTTAGTTCTATCAGATCAATGGGTGATTATCTTTGAAACAACAGATGATCCAGACCTTTCAAGCAGAATTTCTAGATTTACTAATATTTGAAACCATAAAGTAATAACTGATTGGAAGGAAGCACCCAAACTCTGCTTCTTTTATAATAAAGCAAACCATGTTAAAAAGGAATGTTTAAAATATAAGGCTTCAGTAGAGGCCAAAAATTTATAAAAAGCTTTCAAGCTCACCAGAATGCAAGAAAAAAAACATCTTTTATAACGAAAAGAAGAAGAGCTTTTAGCTTTAAGCCTCAACAACCCTTATATTAAAGAAGAAAATCATGAAATGATTATAGAAATAGCAATAAATAAATTATTTACAATTGGTACAGAATTAAATGAAGATACAAAAATGAAGCTAGTAATCTCTGAAACAGAGATTATAGCTATTAACCTAAATACTAACCAAATATCAGAAATTTTTCAAAATAAAAATATAGTTATCAATAGCCAAGAAAGTATAGTTATAGATCCCCTGTCAACACTTTACAATCAGACTTCTTTTGACTAATAATTATAACAGAGATATACTGATAATACAAATAAAGTTGTGTTATAAAGAGTTTAAATAGATAACCTCCTAGTTGAGTTGTAGATATAGCAACTAATATAAAACTTATAATATAATACCAATATGTGAACTACTTAAATAGATAACTAAAAGTTGCATATATGGCTAATTGTTTTTTCTAATAAAGAAATATCTTTAAGGCTTCAGCTACAAATCTCCTACTTAGCAATACTTGAATAAAAACCTGAATTCAAAGAAGCTAGTTAAAAAAAATAAAAAATAAAAAATTAACAAGTTTATTAGTAATAATAATATTTTAATCTGTTAGAAATTAATAGAAACAAAGTTTTTGCTTATTCATATATAATTATAATATTATTAATTAATCCTTCTATGATCTTGACATAGTGATTAGAGATTAATTTAATAATGATGCACCATGAATATTAAACACCATGTTATACAAAATTATTAGAATAACTAAGTAAAATTTAAGATCAGATGTAACATAAAATTTTGTTGTTTTTGGTTATTTTTTTTTTAAAAAAACACTAATATCTCAAAATTAAACTTAAAAACCAACTTTTAGGCTCTAACAAAAAATCTTGCTATTTTTTGCATATAAAAATCCTTTGGCTAAAATTCTAGGCCTTGCTCTAGCCCTAAAATAAATAAAATTTATTTTTTATTTTTATTAAAATTGTTTTTTTTGTTTTTGCTACACGGATCTGTAAATCAAAACAATACCTTAAATATTATTTGTTTAATAATATCTTTATATTTGATATATAAACTTTTTTACTTAGAAGCCAAAAGAAGGTTGTTTTAATAAAATTTTAAATATTTATATAAGTTTTTGTTTTTTTTTTATTTTTTATTTTTTTGTGGATATCTTAAAATTTTATTAAAATAATTTTTCTTTTGGCTTCTAAAAAAAAAAAATGCTCATCATGAAATTTTTCATGTAAACGGAAATTTTCTTTAAAATATTTAGATTTTTAATTTTTTAAAATTTTTTATCTGATTGGTGTGCAGAGATCTCATGTTCAAAAATAAACATGGATACTTTTTCACAAAATTATTTATAAAAGTTCAAAAAAGAACAATTAAAAATGAAAGCGCAACAACCATTACAAAACACAATCATGTAATACATTAAAATTTATTTTTTATATATTAACAACTAGAGTTACAAACTCGAAACCTGCTTATTATTATCGATTGAACTAATCCCATAGCCACTGTGGCGCACTAATCTGGCACATTTTCCACAATGTGAAATGTGAAGGCACGGCATTATACGTAAAGAAATGGCGCCTTTATTCGGAATTAATTATGGAATATGTCGTAATGCTTTAGCCTGTAATTAAGACGACAACAATGAATTTTCTGGGAACATGTATTCAGGGGTGTACATTTACAGAATACATATTCTCAATGCTCGTATTTAGAGTGTACTGAGCATTTAGATAGAAATTAACCGTATATAACTGTATATAACTTCAATGAGGTTTTACTCTTATAATAAATCTTTACGTATTTGGAGCTTTAATGTTATATATATCTTATAAAACTTTTGCCTATCAATATACAATAAAGGAACATGTTGAACACTAAACACTGATCCCAACACCGTTGCAAAAAGATGCGAATGATAAAACCCACTAATAAAAATAAAACGTATTTATAATTATTCTGATTGATATAAAATATATATATATACTGGTGTTAATATATTGTTACTAACGAATACAATAAAGAAAACATTGGCTAGAAAAGGACAAGAAGGTCAAGATCCAAGTTTTTCATTATCCTTCTTTTCTGCCTCGATTTCTAGGTAATGGAGTAATCAATTAATTGATATGGTGATAGACAATCATGTGACTAAATATCTTGCTGTGAAGAGTACATGTAATTTTTTTTACAAACCTTCCTTAGTTGGTAACGTAATTTTTACCTCAGTTTGAACAGGCTTAAGGTTTTCCTTAATTGCAGTTGCTTTATCCTCAATTTCTTTAGCAAAAGGTGGTCTATCCCCGTCCATGCTTGTAAATTGTAAATATTAGATTCCTTAAATTCGTTATCAAAACTTGTTCTAAAATATTTGATAAAAAAAACAAATTTATAATCCCATACTACACAGAAATAATAGCATAAAAAAAAAAAAAACATCTCAATATTACCTTCAAATTTTTTGAAAAATGAAGAGAAAAACGATTGTGAAGCAGGGGAATTAGCCGACCGATTTTATGTAAAACTTGTCTCTAAAACCGTGTTACCACGTCGATCTAGTACTTTAAAATATATATGAATAAAAAAGGGGGTTTATATGCATGCATAGACTTTATGTTTCACCAACCTCTACGGGAAGATCCCCAAAATTCCGGGTTCGAATCATCGTATTCGTGGAAGATAGACCGGAATTAACAAAATTTACCTGAGATCAATCAAAATTTTAATGGTCATAGTCCACCTGATAATAATATGTAGTTTACTAGTAAACTTAATGCTGGCCCAGCTCCGATGAACTTCAACCTGGAATTTTGGGGATTACTCTGGAAAAAAAAAAACTGTTTCACCATTTTTTTATGTATGTGCACATAAACTTTGCGGAGGCAAGTGTTAAGATTGACTTAAATAGGAAATATTATTATTTATTGTTACTGTGTAAGTACATATGTGTGCGGTCGCAAAGCCTCTCTGTGGCCAAGGGAATTGAGAATTGTTCGTACGTACGTACGCATGTAGAACTTTCTCCTAAATTTCTAGGGTTTGCTTGCATTTCATGAAAAGAACACGGAGAGATCTCCGAATTGACACCATCTAACGTCAAAAACTGTTCTAAATACTGTATGTAACATTTAAATTATACGTACACATGTATTTAGCACAACTTTTGATATGTATAAGAAAAATTTTGGATGTAAACTCTTGATTTAAATCAGTTTCCAATATTAGAAATACGTAGAAGTAGAATATTAAATAAACTTTCAATATAAGGTCATACAAACTTAATAAATTGGTTCTCATAACAAAATTTTTAAAAGTGATCCGGCAACCCGGCTTTTAATTTTATTTTAAAAAATTTTTATATAAAATACATAATATTTTTATAGATTTTTTAGAAAAACTCACTCGGATAGTAAATATACTTAAATTTTTTTTTAATAAAATTTGACCCGGCCGGATCGTATCAGTATTAAGTTTAGTTCTTGATTTTTTATGTCATGTTAAATTATTGACCAATCTGATTGGCTAGTTTTTACCTGCAGATTATACCATTTTTGCTAAAGATCTGATCTTACTATCGCTATATAGATATTCATCAAATTTTCACGTCGACGTATATTTCATTATGGAAACCTCAACAACTAGTAATCCAAATACTTCGAATTATCCTCGAATTGTGATCGGTCTTAGTCGCGGTCAGGAAAAGCCCAATGTTTCTTTGGTGACCGCTGAAGCGCGTGAATTAGGCTACGATTTTGTCATTCTTCCTATCACATTTCCTAGTTATAGGCGTTTCTTGTTTGAACAGCTTATAGGCAGTGTTGATGTAAATGAAAAAAAAATTATGGAAGAATGGAGAAAAGGTCATCCATTTTGCAGAGAAGATTTAGTAGTGAAAAATGCAGGTAAGTTGGTTAATACTCTTAAAAAGGTCAATTATTACTAAAACTAATTCTTTATATATACAATTCTTAGATGTATCTGATTTTATGATAGGCCAAGTTTCAAATTGGATTAATTTAGATTCGCCGGATCATAGTATAAGAATAAATTCAGAAATGGTGAGACATTTTGTAGGTTTGATGTTCAATTGCTTCGTTCGAAATGCCCTGATCCATGTTTTTATATTAAAAGATCATGCGACAACAACTAAGTTGGCTTGGACACATAGGCATTTCTGCTGCATTGATACCATTTCCTTCCGATTCTCTAATGAATTATGCGAGATGCGTTAATTCTATTTTTGGAACGCTTCCCTACATGAATGTATAAGTCTGGAATGTTATTTAACTCATGTATTTTTGGTACTTTAAATAAATCAGTCCATTAAAAACTTTATTTTATATAGATGTGGATTAAGATTCCTTTGGTCCTTGAAGATGAGATGTTGGGATTGAAAGAAACAGAAACATGGATGCGATGGAACAAATTTAGAGCCCTTTGTGAAAATCACGTCAGATTATCTATAGGTATACTCCATAAATGTTGTTGTAATTATCAAACGCACACGTTTATACTTTATTTTTTAATTTATTGTGTAATTTACAGCTTTAGAAGTGACACAAAACCTTCCCGAAGATAATATACTTGATCGATGGTTCGCAGAACCATTAAAAGCTGTCATATTACCAACTACAATTTTCTTGTCAAATGCAAAGGGATTTCCTGTTTTAAGTAAAAGACACCAGACATTCGTTCGTAAACTTATTAAAGTATGTAGTTAACCTTAACCGGAAATACTTTTATTTGGTAAATAACCACTAATTATGATTAATCGATATAGTATAAACCTAATTTTATCATTGACTGCACGACTGATGTTCCTAATCATGCAAGCGGCGGACTTTCTGCATATCAGGAATATTTGCATTATTTAAATCGCACAATGCCTGAGTTGACCCAAGTTGAACAATTCGCGTTAGGTTATCATGATTTTCTTCAATCTCCTTTACAGGTAATTTATTTTACTCACAAACAAACATAATTTTGTTTAATAATACTAATTATTCTTTAATTTGAATTATGATAGCCATTGATGGACAATTTAGAGTCATCTACCTATGAAGTTTTCGAAAGAGACTCCACAAAATATGCATTATACGAGAAGGTATGAAATGTAAGAATTAGATTTTATTGAACTTGGTAACCTATCCGGATCAATCGAAGTATTTGATTTCGATTTGACTCATTTATTTTACGTTAGATAACTCCTTACATGTATTGATGATTAATATATTTTACAGGCAATACATCATGCCCTTCTGGATCATACTATCGGATCGGAAGAAATGATGTAATGCTGATTGTCTTCACTTATAATATGAAATTAAGAAAACATTAATATTTATTAATTCCTAACTAATTATATTTATTATTTATTATTATATGAAATATTTAGAGTTATTATGGTCGTGGGTGCTGGTCGTGGGCCTTTGGTCACGCGTAGCTTAGAAGCGGCCGAGAAAGCACGAAAACGGGTTAAGGTATATGCTATTGAAAAGAATCCTAGTGCTTTTGTCATGTATGTTGGTTACAAGGATCATTACTCCGTCTTGATATACAATAATCGCATTTTAATATTCATGAACTTTAGTTTACAGAATAAAAAAGCAGAAATATGGGGTGATAAAGTGACAATCGTGTTTTCTGATATGAGACACTGGAAAGCTCCAGAAAAAGTTAGTATATGATTGATTCTATATTTCTTAATTTTTCAAATGTGTGAATTAATTTTAATTATTAATAATTTTCGATTTTCAATTATATATCAAGGCTGATATTTTAGTCAGCGAACTTTTAGGTTCATTTGGTGATAATGAGTTATCACCAGAATGTTTGGATGGCGCACAAAAGTTTTTGAAATGTATGTTATAAAGTTTTTAATTTTGAAATATTGTATAATGTATATTTTTTGCATTTTAAACAAGCACAATCATCTAAAACTAGTTTTGTGATCAATACATTTAAGCTGGTGGTATATCAATACCTGCTTCTTACACGGCTTTTATTTCACCAATTTCATCATCAAAACTTTATAATGAGGTTGCGGCATACAAAGATCTGGCTCACTTTGAGACTCCATATGTTGTTATGTTTCAATCTGCTTCTGAGTTGGCCAAACCATGTCAGGTTTGGCGTTTTGATCATCCAAATGGGAATATTTCGGTTGACGAAAATGGTTGGTCATAAACTTTAATAAAGATTTATATATTATTTATTAAACTTTAATATTTTTATAAATTTCGTAGGAAATCCCATTAATAATTATCATAACACACGATACTCTAAAGTGACTTTTAACATAAGAGAATCTGGAATACTACATGGTGTTGCTGGGTATTTTGAATCGATATTATATAAAGATATCATACTGAGCATTCATCCGGACACACATTCCGTTGATATGTTTAGTTGGTTTCCCATTTTTTTCCCGTTAAGGGTAGGTTTCACAAAATAGTGATGATATGATGTATGTACTTAACTTTACTATTTTATTTATTTATATCTAATTTATTTATTTATACATTAGATACCAATTTATCTACCTTCTAATACAAAACTTGATATAAATTTTTGGAGATTAACAAATTCTCAGAAAGTATGGTACGAGTGGTGTGTTGATCCTTCTTTTCAATTAGGTCCAGAGACAGTTTCGTTTAGTCCGTCTGCAATACACAATGTATTGGGAAGGTCGAGTTGGATAGGTTTATAATCAATAGACGGACGTGTTTATAAATAGTTAAAAAAATGGATAGTTTTAATTGACATATTCATATTATTAACTTCATTAGTTTGAATGATTTCATTAAAAAAATTTTGGGATTTCAATCGAAACTAGGTTATCTTTATTGAAATTTAAAATTTTGTTTTTTCAACCGAAAATAGGTTATCTTTATTGCAATTAAAAATTTTATTTTTTCAACCGAAATATCTTTATTGAAATTTTAATTCATTATTTCAAAGACTTGATTTTACTTTTTATTACATAACATTCACATATGAATAGTAGATATCTAATCGCAAATATAGGACGAGATTCTTTCGAGGATGAAATGTCATCATCCGGTAGTTTAATTAGGAAAAAGATACTTGCATTATCTTATCTACAAGAAAATTTGCCCGTCTACATCGGGAAATTATTTGTTAAATTTAAATAATTATCTTTTTTAAATTAATGATGTTTATTTTTCCTAAAATGTGCCTAAAACACACATATGGCGTTTAATATCCATATGCGCATTATCTCAATTAATTTGTGTTAAGCAATAACTACGTCCCAAAAACCCTTTCCAAACAAGCCATACAAGATTTATTTTCATAAGTTGTTCAGATCAATTTTGAAAACTTGCAAGAATGTTTTATATACCGTACTGTATATTCGCGAAAAAACGCGCGTGCGCGTTATTTTGAATAATAGTCCGAATTAAGCTTAATTCAAACCAAAATCCCCTGCGCGTTATTTCGCGAATATACGGTAACTGGTCTGTCTAAAGGTTTAGCGTTATGAAAACCAAGAACTTTGTACGGTCTCATTTAATAATTTTAAAAAACATAATGAATAAAATTTAAAAAACATAATGAATAAAATTTTAAAAAACAATGAATAAATTTTAGAATAAAATTTTTTAAAAAAATCGATATTGAATAACAAACTATAAATACGTACGTTTTTTATAACAAATTATTAATAATACAAAATTTTATACATTCAATTGATTATTAACAAAAATTTTTTGTAAAAAATACATATTAACTATTAACAATAACAATAACAATAATAATAACAATAATACGTAATAATAATAATAATAATAATAATAATAATAATAATAATAATAATAATAATAATAATAATTATAATAATAAGGAATTCATTTTAATGCTACGTAGTAAAACTTTTTTTAGTCTGCCGGTACTATGTCATTATACTACTAATTTTAATAAGATTATTTTAATTCAGTAATTACGACTAATAAATAGTAATTACGACTAATAAATTAATACAATAACTAATTAAGCCAATATTTTTTTTTTAAATTGTTAACTATTAGTGTTTCTACATCAACTGTATTACTGTACTATTTTTTTTTTCCTATAAATCAATGATGTCAAATTTGTTTGACTCACTTTTTCCACCATTTCCATTACTACTATTATTAGGTTTTAATCTTGTAAAATCTTTCGAAGGATCAATATCTTTTAAATTTTTATCATCAACTGATTCTCTATCCACATCCAAAAATCTATTCCTGTTGTTCAAAATTTTTTCACTACCATTTCTCACGGTACCAAATTGAAGATCAACATCAATTATATTTGGATTTATTCGATAGGTAGGTTCGGGTCGAACAACAGCAATACGGGTAGTATAAGCAGCAGAATTTATACGTTCATCTTCTTCATCATTATATTGATGTAACATACCCTTACTTCCTTTCTTATCGAGTTTCATATTTGTTAATAATATTGATGTTGGTTTTACTAAAAACCAAGAAAATTTTCGGTTTCGAAGTAAAAATAGGAAGGAAGAGAATGTTATACAAGTTGATAAATCTTCAATTATCTATTTAACAAAGAGTTTTTTTTTATTATTACAATTTGTTAAATTTTTGTCTTTGTCAGTGAAATTAAAAAAAAAAAGAACCTACCTACCCTAGATTTCCAAAAGTTTGATATTGTAGGGACGGCATTTGAATAAAATATATCAGAAAAGATTAAGAAAGAAAATGATATCATTAAGATACACATTATTATTACAACCTAATTATATAAATGAGTAAATAAATATGAAAAATAAATAAATAATTAATTAATTAATAATAATAACTGATAATTAATTAATAACTTATAATTTGATAAATTACCCGTCCAGCTTTCCATTTATCACCTTTATTAACGAACTTATAAATCAAAGTTTCACCAATTCTTTGATGTACTTCTCTATGAGTTGCTAATCCCCAAATCATAATAATTCCAAATATGAAATAACCTAAATTTATTATCACAAGAAATATAATTTCTAATATAGTTGAAGAATTTGATAATGATGATGAATTTGTAGATGTCAGATTTAAGGTCTTTAAGAACGTCGAAATTAGGACAATGATAATGGAGAAGCATAAGACTAGGCGTTGAATATTTGAAAGGATTCGAAGATGTGGTAATAGGTGAGTATCATATCTGATTATTTCTTTGGTTGCTTTTACCCTAAAAAAAATTAAAAAAAAATTCATAATAATTTATAAGTGGAATTTTAAAAATGATAGAAAAAGTTTATCGATCACTTACCATAAAAATTGTAATAGGATATAAAGTATACATAATGAAGTAAACCTTAATCCTATGATTAATTTATAATTTGTTATCGATAAGCGATCTTCTCTTATACCATTTGGATCAATTTGCAATATTAATGCCGAAACTAAAATAGCAAAACAAATAGCAAAACAAATACCAAAACAAAAAGCAAAACGAAAAGTCAGAAATACATCAAATATACCAAATACAGTATATCTCAAATCTAAAATCACCACAACGTAATAAAATATTACCAAGAGAACAAAAAGAAATAGCAGGTAAAATAATAACGTTTATATTTCTCAGATCCCAGGATTCCAAAATATAATACATTATTATACAGGTAGTAATAGATATAAGGCAGTATATAATACCCCACACTATAGACCACAAAGTCCAAGACCTGCTTTGTAATAAAAGAGTCCATGGACTAGTATCTTTGAAAAGAAAATAAAGATATTTTAGCAAAAATTAAGAAAATTAAGAAAATTAAGAAAAGTAAGGAATCAATAAATTTATAGAGCAAAAGCATACTCGAAGTAATTTTAATATGATCAATATTTGCATTCAAAGATTGAATCAAAGTCGTATCATCTTTTGTGAGCAAGGTCAAACCTACACTGACATTACGTAACAAGTCACGATTATAGACAGGTTCCTTAATTCCAGGATCACCACCATTTAAAGAAGTAAAAGCAATAACTTTTGGGAGCAAATCATTAATACTGAATGAAACATCTCTTTTACGGAAGTCGCGATTTTGATTTTGATTTTGTAATGAATTACAATTAATTGACCGTTGTTGATCGTAAGAAGATTTTGAGATAAAATATTTACATTGTCCATTATTTTCATTACGTCTTTTTACATCAGTATTATTAGTAGGATAAAAAATAGATCCATTAGATAGAATTGTCGAACCACTAGGTAGACTAGATTGATTACTACCAGATGGAAACGTTATACCATTAGTTATCCAAATATTTCTGTAATTAATATACGGTAAGAATTATATAAATTATGTGATAAATAATAAAGATATAAATATAAATACATATATATATATATATACGCTTTTTTTACCTTGAAATGAAGTCATCAATGAAATTACAACCAAATCGTTGAACCACATCAAGAGGAACTATCAACAAATCTATTCCCACGGGAATAGGTTTAAGCGTACATGGATCAGCATTATTTGTAAAATTATCATCATTAGTAATAATATTAAATTTTGCGATTTCTAATTTTCCTTCAATAACTGCACCACTCTCATAATAATTAGAAAGAGGAATGTTATTTAAGCTATTTAGAAATGGGAAATCGGTATTTGACAAAGAGGCCAGCTCGATGTTAGATGAATTGTATAATAATAATGTCGCATTCACTGGATCAAGAGATGAAAAGGTCAAGAGACATAATAAGAACAATAAATGGGTACGATGGTATATTATTGAATGAAATAATTTAATCAAATTTATTAATTCAGAAGGAAATATTTTAATAAAAGGATTTATGAGAAAGATTAATCGAGACATGATGAAATTCGTAACGCTTTTTTATTGGATTGTTTATAAAGAACAGAGTTATAAGAATGTTATCCGTGTACGTGTTGTGGTTCCGTATAGACTGTTTTAGAAAGAGACAGGTAGGGGTTAAGGAGACTTTGCAAAAAAAGTTAATAACGACAGATGTTTAAAAATTTGTATTTATTATCAAGTCATGAAAAAAAAATGTAGGGGATATATATTACAAGGGGGTAAATATATGCATAAATACTGAAATAACATAAAACTTAATCATCCATCAAAAAAAAGAATATATGGAAGAAGACCGTTTTAGAATTCAAGTTCGGCATAGACTAAAAAAAAAAAAAGCTTTTGAAAAAAAGTCAAACAAAAATAATAAAGAGTTCTCATGAAAAGCACATTTTTTTAGTAGTTTGATATACCCGACGTGGAATCAAGAATTACGCTAGTAAGAAGATATAATTAAGGTAAAGATCAGCGAGAATATGCCAACCTGTTTTTGTCTACGTTTGTAAAATTCGTAAAGTTTTTTTTCGTTGTTTTCCTCTATGAGAAAGATCAATCAATTTCATTGGTTGACATACCAAAAGTGGTTAACTAATTGTGGCTAGGATTTCATAAAATCCGAGTTTATTACCATAAATAATACCGGTAGTAAAGTGTTTTTTGTTTGATAAATGATCGCTAACTAATAAAGATGCAACAAGCATAGATTATGTAAACAAGTATTGTACATACATAATGATAAAGTTAACGTGGTTTAGGATTATTGAACTTTAATAAGGTAACAATCGAAATTGATATTGATGATATTGATGTAATACGTAAGTATAATGATATAATGATATCAATACATTAATTAAGTGTATGTAAGATGTTTGACATTGATGATGAATGAATGAATAAACATTGGTAATATAATAAGCTTTATCAGTTAGCGTTAGCGTTAGTATACTAACTCTAACTCTAATGCTAATGCTAATGTCGATATAAAGTTAATCGTCGGTGTGACTCAAATTTTTATTGCAACAAATTAACCGTATTAATACGTACTGACATAAGTGTATTAGTATTTTTAAAAGCAACTTGTTTCGTGATCAAAGAACAGTAATTAAAATGGTTAATAATAATACAGTCCGTTTTCAATGTGCCTGCACTAAATGCAAGTTTTTTGTCCCAAGTAGATGTACTTTCTTAAATGCAGACTCTTTTTACCATACTGTATATGGTACATTTCGAAAGAGTCGAATACGTATACTGTTTTATATATAATGATCTGCTTGATTCAATACTTTTTGGTAACGGTTGACAAATAAATATTCACATGATTACAGTGCAATTCTTTGTTCCTTTTTGATCTTACAAGTTTCGACTTATTTCATTATTTACAAAGAAAAATGCCCGAATGTACGCATCCAATAGTTGGTATCGGAATATTTGTAATTCGAGGAAACAAATTCCTGATTGGTAAAAGAAAAGGAAGTCATGGACACGGTATTTGTTTGATATCTGATATCTTTTATCAATCTGACAATGAATATATGATTTTCTCAAATTTGATACATTGTAAATATAAATGAAAGGATCTTGGCAACTTCCTGGTGGTATGAAATCATATACAAGTATGCGAAATGATTCCATTAAACAAATATAAAACATTCAACAAAATTCGATTTCAAAAATCTATTTAAAGGAACTTTAGAATTCGGTGAATCTTTTGAAGACTGTGCAAAACGTATATAATTTGAAATTCAAATAATTTGAAATTCAATAGTTGAATTTCTTTCGTCTGGATTTTTTTTTCATGCCTTTGTAAATTTCATCATTCTTTAGGTGAGGTACTTGAAGAAACAAACCTCGAGATCACCAATGTAACCTATCAAACTGTAACCAACAGTATAATGGTAAATGAAAATAAGCATTACGTAGATATTTTTATGCGTGCTGAAGTTGTTGATGTGGATGCTGATCCTTTGGTAAAATTTACGTGTTTCTTGACTTTTCAATTACATTTAACGCATTTGACGCATTTATAACGATAATAAAATTTATCATTTGATAACGATAACAATAATAGGTAATGGAACCCAACAAATGTGAAGGTTGGGAATGGGTAGCATGGGATGAATTTATACAAGGTGGTATTACTGGTACTACTGGTACTGAAAATATTCAGAATATTCAGAACGGTGAAATTAACAAGTATAGACCTATGTTTCATCCTATGGAAACTTTAATTATTACTAGAAACGGGTATCGACCATGTTAGATCATTTACCTGTCTTGATCACGTTGTGAGATCTTAAAATTTCATATTTCTAGATCGATCTATAAACTATATATAATGTCAATATGATTATAATGTTCAACATAGACACCTGAATTAGCTTGATCAAATTTTTTAACTTTTGAATGATGACAATCATCAGATGATCGCTTACCATACAGAAATCTCAAAACCCATTTAAAAAAAAATAATTCTATAGCGATAGTCACCTCCTATATAATTACATTATAGAAAATCCCTTTTTATAATCACTACAACACTTTACTAATAAACTTACAAGCACATCATAGTAAAAACCATTATATAATCACACAATTTGCATAATACGGACTGCGTTATTATAGAGCATATATAATATTTTATACTAGATCTTATAGTTAGTTGATCATGCAACAGTTTTTCTTCGTTTAAATTTCAACAAACTTTCAGCGAAGGAATCTTGAAATAATATATTTATTTTTATTGTTCAAAGCTATTTTTAAATTCTACAGACGACTAGAATTCGGAAATGTTTTTAAGCATTGAGATTTACCTGGCTATCATTAAGGAATATATCGATAATAAAATAATTTCTAGCCAATCACGATATATAGTATTTAATTTTCAATAATGCTGTAATGATAATCTCAAGATAATCTCATGTGAAATCTTATGGAAAATGTGACTTACCATCCAATCAAATTTCAAAATCAGGTGTGATTTGAGAATTATGCCTTCGCTTATGAAACAGCTTCTGCACTCTATAAATAAATAAATAAATAAATTCTTGCTAAAAAATTTGGTATATACCGTTATATACCGTATGTATTTTTTAATCTAGTACTATTCGATTATTTTGAGGACGTAAATCTCATGTTTGACTTGTGGTAGACCCGCATGATTACGCATGTATGAATATTACCGTAAAATGCAATACCGTATGATTTGTGCCGGGGTCTTTAGACAAAACTCGAAGATTAGCTAAAAATTAAATATTAATTTTTAATACCGAGGTATATATATGAATTGGGGATATTTTTGAGAAATCATATTAAAGTTGATATATATTTATGAGGGAATTTTGATATCAATATATAAAAATTTGTCTTGTGGCTTTGGTTGATATTAACGAGGTTGATATTACCGGGGGTCAATTAGAATTGATCATCGTAGTGCAATATTGTTAAGATTTACGGTATATATATATATATATCGCAATATAAGGTTGGAGGCAAACCTTTTGGGTTTTAACACACTATTCTGAATAAATAAAGGAAATAAACTTCGATCTTGAGTTTATTTGGCACTATTTGAATGAATAAAACATATGCTTTGTGACCCATTACTTAGAACGATCATTGAAATGATGTACGTACGTACGTACGTACTCTTTATCGTTTACGTACCCAAGTACCGGGGAACTGATTGCAATAAAAGATATAGTAAAGGATTTGATGATACTTATCTACCTCGACCAAATCCACCGTTTTTGCCGGACATTAATATTTTTAAGTATTCGTTTAACGTTACGCGAGCAAATCTCTTGTGGACCCTACAAGTAGTGGCGGAAATTTATTAACCCCTTAACACTAAGTGGCATGTAAAATACCCTGGTATTTCTGTACTTTTCATTGCATTTACCGTTACAGTAATTTTTCTCATCAAACAATCCAAAAAAATGTCTCCCGCCTTATTCAACAAAGCGTTTATCCAGCTTAGTCATTTTTTAGACTATATCTCTTATATTTACACCACCATTTTTTGTTTTTTATTTAGACAAAAACCTTTACAAGTTCATATTCCCACTGAAAATTTTCATCCAGCAGTTCTTATAACTGGTACTTCTGCTGGAATTGGTCGTGAAACCGCTTTTTCTCTTGCGAAACTTGGGTACACAGTGTTTGCTGGTGTCAGAAAAAAAGATGATGCTGAAGATCTTCTTGCTTCTTTTCGTGAATGCGATAATCCCAAAGAAGGTCGAATTCTTCCCATTATTTTAGATGTTACAAATAAAGATCATATTCAAAATGCTTATGATCATATTCAATCAATCATTGGTTATGAAATTCCTTTTGTTGCTTTAATCAATAACGCTGGCATGGTTGTCTATTTACCAATGGAAATTGCTTCGGAAGATGCTTTTATAAATAGCTTTAATACAAATTATTTTAGTATTATCAATCTTACAAAAAAATTCTTGCCCCTTTTAAGAAGAAGTGGTGGTCGTGTGATTAACATTGGGAGCGTTGCTGCTTGGGTAAATGTAGCTTCCATGGGTATTTATGCTGCAACTAAAGCTGCCGTTAGAATTACCACTCGCATTTGGAGAATGGAAACTAAAGACATGGGAATTCATTTTGCTTTAATTGAACCTGGTATGTAATGTTTATATTCTGTTTTATCTTATGTTTATATTATATACATATATTTATTTAATAAATTATTTGATAAATTATTTGATAAATTATTTGATAAATTATTTGATAAATTATTTGATAAATTATTTGATAAATTATTTGATAATTATTCCCAGGTATTATCGTTTCCAGGTTAACAGAGCAAACAACATCTAATTTCCGTAATTTCAGCAATTTCTCTTCACTCTCTAGTTATTATTCTACACCAAACGACACTAATCCAAAAGTTTTAACGGATTATGAAAAAATTTATAAAGCTATTGCAAAAAGTAGTGAAAATTTTCAAGCTTCTCCTACTGAAATTGTAACTGATTCTATAGTACATGCTTTAACTGCTCCTTATCCACAAAATACTTATTATGTTGGTATAGATGCTAAAACTTTTGCTTTAGTTAATTGGTTAGTAGGTGATGGGATTATTGAAACTGTACAATCCAAAGTTATATCTTTTTTAGCAAATAGATATTAAATTTTTTTTTTCTTGATATGTAGTCAATATAATTAGCAATTTAAAAATTTAAATAAAAATTTATGTATTTTGTTCATTTATTTTATTAAATAAATATGTATCCTATGGAGTTTATATTCTAGCGAATATTTGTACCCATTAATCGTGATCAGAGTTTCGATATTCTTTTGTCTCTGTTCGAATAACTCTCGAATAACTCTCAAATAATTTGCTCCAAAATTTTTACGTATACTTTATTAAGATTTTATTATGAAAGCTAAAAGGTTCGTTATAGTCTAATTATGTATAATTGGTACAATTTTTTTTTTAAATATTTATGAATTTTTAATTTTCGATAAAAATATATCTCAAGGGGATCTAGCTCAGATGGTAGAGCGCTCGCTTAGCATGCGAGAGGTACTGGGATCGATGCCCAGGTTCTCCAACCAACACGTATTATTTTTGAACAATTAAACAATTATCATGAACTTGTTAAAAAAAAAAAGTAAACAAGATTAGGGTATTACTATCTATGAAAGAATCAGTGCCACCATATTTTAGTAACGCAGGGAAAAATCGGAAATCTCAACTTTCGGATTTATCATTTTTATGATAAATAACTCACAACTACATCTCATTATCGTTATCATTATGTATTGATGTTAGTCGTTATAGTCTTAACTAAATGTTTAAAATTCAATTTGATTTTAATATGCAGAAAATTTAATAATTCTCTTAAAAAAAATTTTTTTTCGTATGCATAACATGCATGTTATCTGGCGGTATTTGACAGGATGATAGCAACGCACGTGGCCGAAGGCCACGTGTTTTTGCTATCATCTAGGGCAGTGATGTACGTTTTGACTGTTCAAAGGCTTTTTTTGGCACTGTCCAACGTCCAAGTGTCCAAGTGTCCACAAATGTCCAGAGCTTGTCCAAGCTTTAATAATTAATAAATTTGTTTAAAAAATATATAATTATATATTTTTTTAGATGCAGAACATATTTTACTTAAGAAATAATATAGGTTATATTAATAAAATTTTGAGTAATTTTAATTTATTTAATTGTCCAAAATTGTTCAAAGTGTCCAAACTTACTGTCCACAAGTGTCCCGTGACAACACTGATCTAGGGTGTCCAGGATTATGATGCAACATAACGATAATATTAGTGATTGGAACCGTTTAACCGTTTGAAAATTTCTCCATAATTCCGGGCAGAATATGTTGGTCGTGGGCCGGAATTATCTTAATGCCGGCCAAATTAAACGGTTAAATGAATAAACCGGTTTGTTCCTGTGACTGTAATCACTTGACTTGTCGTTCTTTTTGAATTTTTATTGGCTAATTACTCTAATAACTCCTACATACAAATGCAACAGGACATTTGTCTTTATCGTTTCAAAAGGATCACAGTACAGTATCGCCATCAAAAACTCACCCCACGTGATTATTGACCAATAAAAGATTATAATTTAATGTAACGTAACACGATCAGGAAAATTCAAACGTCTTTTTGTCAAAAATCGCTTATTTCTCAGGAATTTGCATAAGAAACTACCTTTCGTGCATTAACAAAAAGTTTCCTTGAGCGGTTTTATCGTCTATTCCCCTAAATCTAAACCCTAACCTGAACGTTAAACCGAACATAAATGAACTTAAAGAATTTTTGTGGGGGTGAATTTTTTGATGGCGTAAATTAGCATATTTTTAAGTAGCGTGAGAACCTCTTTCCTTTAGATTACCCTTGAGGCGTCCAAGTCAGTGTTGGCATTGGACATATGTCCAATAATTTTGAAACAATTGGACATATAAAATTTTATATGTCCAATCTTTTTCGAATTCATTGGACATATGTCCAATACCAACACTGGTCCAAGTTATTGTTTTGATGCAGTGAAAAGAGTGCCATCTTTATGAAATAATGTTATGAAGGTGCTATCATTTAAGTCATAGCATGGGCTTTATAAGGACTATTTAATAAGGGTTCAAAGTTGTGATTCTGCAAATAATAACATAATCTAATGTTTTTCAATAAGAAAATCCCTTTCCTTTAGATTATTGTTTGCGAGGCACTCAAGCCATATTGTTTTGATATATTGTAAGAGCGTTATCTTGTATAGAACAATGTTACAAAGAGCGCTATCAAGCAGGCCATACGATACAAAGAACGGAAGCGCATTATGGCCACAGAACTTCCTGTGAACGTCCTTCTTTGATCGGCCGTTGTTTTATGGCCTATTTAGCATGTATGGTTTGATGATTTTCACCAGAGAATAATGATCTAATGAAGGTTCTTGAAATAAGGTCAACTAAGTCTAGAGGAAAGAATCGGTTATGCATCTTATTAAAAGAATCTTACGTTTATCCTGTTACTAATAAATATACTACTTAATAAACACTTTATTAATCTCTATTTAACTATTTATTAATACATTTAGAAGAACAAAGAAAATAAAAACCCTCACCAACTAATACTGATTGGTTGATTTACATAATTCACTATTAAAATTTGGGACTTCGTAAACACAACTTTTCTTTAACACTTTGAAACTTTATTTATATTCAATCAGATCTTAGTTTTCTGGATTCAAAAATCTTGCTAATGACAATGTCAAAAAGTAGACAACGTAAAAACACAAAATTATGTGCAGTACATGGCAAAGATCTTAAAAAAATACAAGTCTCATTGTTATGTATAAAAATTTTCGTATTTATATTCAAAAAGTTCTTAGTTTTCTGGATTCGAAATGCCTTTTTTGGTTTTTAAATTCTTGCTAGTGGCAATGCCAAAAGGTAGACTGTAAAAATACAGAAACGTGTGCAGTATGTGACAAAGACCTTAAAGAAATACAAGCACAGCTTTAGTATTGTGGTATGAAATTTTCGTGTTTATATTCAGCAAAACCTTAATTCATCATTTTAAAATAGTTTTATTTAATTCAATTTACAAAAGTTAGTTGTCAAGTAAGTCAGTTTAGATTTAGATCAAATGTGTAAGCGATATTATTTAACTAATATGGGCTAAAGGTTGTATTCGTTTCTGGTAGAAGTGGTATGACAAAAAAAAATATAATAGAATTACTAATTAAAATATATAATTAAAAGTAAAGCTTCTCTAATAATAAGTAATTCATAAATCATTTGGCAAATAAATCATTTATTCATATATTGTTATTTATTTGATTAGTTGATATTTGATCACTAAATATCATAGTAATTAACTTGATTGGTTAATGGCATGTTTTAATCATTATATGTGACAAATTGAATTTTGTGATATTTCAAATAAATTTGTTTATATGTATTTACTAATTTTTCCCAAGTTTCTATTGGCTAAAATTATTTGTACCAATTTACATATCACTTTTCATTTAAAATATAACATCTAAGTTAGGATTTGGAGTTAGTATTAGTGGACAACCTTATATTAATATTTTGGTAAAAAAATTTTTATTAGTGTCTAAAAGGTGATTTTTTGAACAAAATTTTGAAATAAATGTGATTTTTCAAAAAAAATCAATTGTTGTTTTGATCTTTATATTATATTTAATAGGGTTTTGCAATTTGATTTTATTTGATTTGATTTGATATTTGATGTCAAATCATATTCAAATACAAAAATTTTAAATCAAATCAAATTCAAATTGACAAAATATTTGATTTATTTAACAAATTTTTGAATATTTGATTTTTTTCAGTATTAAAATGAGGTCATACTTTATTAATTCTTAAGTTTGTATACTACTATACAACCTTGTTGCTCACTTATGCAGTGATGTACGTTTTGACTGTCCAAAGGCTTTTTTGGTACTGTCCAATGTCCAAGTGTCCAAGTGTCCACAAGTATCCAAAGCTTGTCCAAGCATTAATAATTAATAAATTTGTTTAAAAAATATATAATTATATATTTTTTTAGATGCAGAACATATTTTACTTAAGAAATAATATAGGTTATTTTAATAAAATTTTGAGTAATTTTAATTAATTTAATTGTCTAAAATTGTCCAAAGTGTCCAAACTTACTGTTCACAACTGTCCTGTGACAACACTGCACTTATACATCTACTATTGAACTAATTTTTAAATATGAGACTCGGATTACTTTATCTGTAACCTAAACCTACCAAAGTATTCTGTATCGCATTTTTATATTACCTGGTTTTTATGCTTTACAACTAACTAATTTCAGCTACCTAACTATATTCTTTCATAATCTACAATCAAACCTAACTCCAATAACTTCAAATTGGTTCATTCAAATAATCAGTTTTTAAAAGCCTTCCAAATTAGTGTACTTGCTAAGAGCTTCTTGTATATATATTTCAAGCCAGCTTCTTGCTATCTAATTAGATTCACTATATGACAAAGGTGATATTATATAACAGATTAGAATTTATTTTAGATTTGTGCTAATTGAATTATACTAGTTTATATTTTTCATTTCCATAAATATCTAATCCTTTTACTTATTTGTCCAGATATTACTAATCTATATTTTAAGTCAGAGACCTACTATCACTACTAGTTTGCCATCTACAGGTTTTTTATTATTTTTTTTTATTCTTTCATATGCTTGTATATATTTCTATTTCCTTTGTATTTTTTTTTATAATATTTATTAAAAACTTGTTTTGAGATACATCTTTTTCAGCTATTGGTCTTCGTTGTATATATTATACAACTTTCAACTTGAAGTATCTCAACTCTGGTTGGTGCAGTATTTATACTAGTAAATCTTTAAAACTTTTCATTATAGATTGCTATATAGGTGTGACCAAAGCTCAGATTTGGTATATTTGGATATATATAGATAGATTATACTCTTTATACAAAGTAATCTTCTATAGTAGGTTGTTTTGCAGTGCTAGAGGTGCTTCCAATTTCAGTTAAAGCATAATCCTTTATTATAGTCTATAGTCATATACCATTGCTTCTTTTACTACTCCAGTTTGGTTATTATCGTATTATCTTTCCAAGCAAGTACCTTACAAGTTGGATGCAGAGATATTGGTATTGTCTCCAGATCACTCCAACCAGAGAACTAATATATATAATCTTCAAGTAATATAACCTTTTATAATGTTACTATCATATATAATGCCTATACTCCATGATCAAATCTCCTTCTAAGAACTTCTTTTCTGATTTTATATTGCGCTTAGACTTTTACAGAGCTTTTTATTTGATTTTATAGCCTCGTAGATTACAGAAGCAAATTTTGTCTCCAGTCTAACTTAAACTATTAATCTAGTTTATGGAAGTTTAGAAGCTTAACTACTAAGCCATAAGACCAAAACATCTAAATATTTGATTTAATTTTTATTAAAACTATAAATATAATAACTATTTATTCAAAATTTTATTAAGATAATCACCTTTTTTTTCTATTTAATTAGAGATATTTTGATTAGAAGAATATTTTTTATTTAATACATAAAATTAATTAACTTAATAAAATTTAAAGATTTTAAAAAATAATGAAATTTCAAAAATTTTAAAAATTTTCAAATATTATTTGAACTTTAAATTAAATATACTTAATATCTAATTTAATTTGATTTTAAAGAACTCTAATATTTAATCTTATATTCTGATTGGTTAAAATTAGAAACTTAGAAAATTAGAAAATGCAAGCAATTTATAATTATAATTCTTAAATTATTATTAGCTAAGTTTTAATTTGAATATAATATATTATAACAAAAAATAACAAAAAGAAATAAATCTATAATTATAAAAGTTTACTAGATAACTATATATTATTAAATAAATATTCAAATTTTTTGAAAAAATATTTAAGTACTAAAAAATTAAATAAATAAATATTTAAATATTTATTTTTTAAACAAGTAAAAATTTCTACTTGTGATAGAGTTCTATATAGGCTGAACTATCTATAGAGCATTTATATACTAGTTTAATATAAGCCAAAATTAGTCTAAAATTATTAATTATAGATAATTAAGTTTAGATCTAAAACTTATAAATAGTTTATAATTAATCTAATTAGCCAAAATTATAGATGTTATTATTGTTTTTCTGATTATATAATATCAAAATTATAATCTAAACTTAATTTAAAATTAAGCTATTTATAGTTTATACTATTTGAATCTATAAATTATATTATATAATTATAGTTTAAACTTGTATCTATTAAATTAAATATAAGCTAAATCTGAATTTTAAAATACTAGTCTAGTCTGAACTATCTGAAATTTTATTTGATAGTTATTTTTTTAAAAACTATTTTAAATTCTAATTATAAACAAACTCTATCTGATATATATTTATACTTAATATTAATATTTTAAACCTATATAGAAATTTTAATATAAAATATCTGGTAATAGTAGAAGAAAATTAGCAAAATTAATATTGCATATATTACTATATCTTTATACCGCATATAAGTAAATTTTTACTAATTAAGCTCTAAATAAAGCTATTAAAATCTGTTTAAATCTTTTATTTAATTTTTTAATTGATCTAATAAATTATTAAAGTGATTGTTTTAACTTTTAAGAGTTTATTCTGTATTATTATACAAGAAGAATATAATAAATATATATTTAACTTATTAAATTATTTTAACCTCATTAAATTATTATCTAAATTATTTGGTTAAGCCTATTAAGATATGTTATTTAATATTGTTATTATTATAAATAAAATTATTAAATAATTAAAAATAAATAATATATAGTATTTATATATATTATAAATATTAATAAATATTATTTTTTTATAATATTAATAGTAAAACTATGTCTTTATCTTTATTAAAAGTTTAATTAGATTTTTCTTATAAAAAATTATATTAAGAAAAAAACTTATTTGTAGCCTAAACTATACTAATAATAATTATATTTCTTAAACTGTATTTCAAACAAATTTGTCTAGAAAATTAAATTATATTTAGTATTTTTTTAAATAAAATAATAATTTTTTTTTAATCTTTAAAGATGAGGTTATATCTCTATCTTTATTAAATTCAATTAAACTTCTTTACAAATTAAAGTAAAAAGATTATATTATTTGAACTTTATATTTATTAAGATACTAAGATTAGAGACTTAGACAGAGCCCTTGCTAACTAAAGTTATAAGAATTATTTGTAATCTAAATCTATAAAATAATAATTTATTAATAATATAGAATATTCTTGAAAATATATTTTATAAAGTTTATTATAAAAATTTTAAAATTATTAATAAACTTTTGAGTAATAAAATTTTAAAGTTTTTATTTAAAAATTTTATTATTAAATTTTTTTTAAGATTTTTTAAAATTCTATATGTATGTTTCTGAAAATAAAAAATTTTTGCTTCTAATACAAATCAAAATTTTTATAACTAATTGTTAAAGTTGTAATAATAATAATTGTCATTTTTATATAAGCTATCATTTTGTAATAAGAATTATAGCTTTAAAATTAATATTTAATAGTTTATTAAAAATAAGTAGATAATTTTTTTAATTAAACATTTTTTCAAAATTAATATATTTTTATTTTATAAACAACTTAAATTTTTTCTCTTATAAAATAAAATTAAATACTACTATAATATAATTCTTATTTTCAAATATTATTAAAAAAAATTTATTTAAATATTTTAAAATTTAAAAAATATAGATCATAAGTATATTTATAAAAATTTTTTAAACAAATTTGTTTAGAAAAACCTATAGATTAAGAGATAACTATAAATATATATTAATCTTTAATTAATATATTTAAAGTAATCAAATAATTTTTTTTAAACATAAAGACTTACTTCAAATATTTTATTTTTTTTTAATATTAAGAAAACTTTCACTTATTATATAAATATAGCCCCTTTCCAGAGTTAATTATTTGGCAATTACAAGTTCTAAAGTAATTATAATATAAACTCTATACAATTGATTATTTTAAAGCTTGTAATTGTTAAACAATTGATTACTTTAAAACTTGTAATTGTCAAATAACTGACTCTAGAGAGGGGCTATATTTACATAATAAGTAAAAACTTCTTTATTGGTTATATGTTTTATTAATGATTGTATAAATATTATATAAAATATCTGTAATATATTTATATATATTTTATTACTAGAAATTTTTGTCTCTACATATTAACAACCAGACTTTAGGACTACTTTATCCTTAAGATAAATCTACTAGAGCTTTCTGTTTTTTTACTTTTAAAAGCTAATTTAGTTTTCTTTAAATTACAATTAAGTAATTTAAAATAGATTTATCAAATAAATTTTATATCTTTATTATTTTTACAACTTTATTTTTTATAGTATTTATCCAATTTTAAAATCTTAATCTTAAGACTGCTACTTCTTTATTCAGGCTTACTAAACAGGCTTTTATCTTGTCTAATAATTTTTAGGCTTTATGTAACCATGACAGAAACTTTTAGATTTGTACTATTCTACACCAGCTTATATATTTTGTCTAATTTATATATTATATAAATACTCTTTATACAGTACAGAACATGCCTGAAATGTGTTCCAGATTTATAACACAGATTTCCTGAGCTACAAATCAGATTTTAGTGTATTTTGTCCAAAATCACTTAAAGAGATTTTAGACCTGTAATTCTAGCATTAGCTAATCCATCAGCCCCATTAAAACAACTATTACAAATATCATGTTGAACTTCAGCTCCAACACCTGAAAATAAATACATGCAAATATTAAATAAAAAATTTCTTCACAAAACATCTAATGAGATTATGTGATTATAGCATACCCAAAACTCCAATTGATGGACATCTGGAATAACAAGAGGTGTACCACTTGTTTCTGGGTTTTGCACTTTCAACCATTTCATGACGAAGAATAACTTCAAGACTATATCATTTGATGATAAGAGGTAAAATTGCAATTATTACAAATTTAAATGATTTAAATGACAAATTCGGTTCAAATAATAACTCACGTTCTAGGCATGTTTCCTGTAGGTACTTCATTTGGAGTTTCCTGAATCCGAACTCTATAAACTTGGATTCTTCGATTTTAAATATCCATTAATCTCTGTTAGTCTGTTAGAATATGTTGGCGTTTGACACATGGTCGGCTTTATAAAGAAATGGATATTTCTGATCAAGTTGCCATTCATGAAGCTATGGAACAGCAGACAATCTCTATCGCAAAAGCTGGAATTCATGCGACATTGAATGCTCGAACTTCAATTTTAGCGGCAGCAAATCCGAATGGTGGTCGATATAATAAGACTATAACTTAGAGTAATGTGCAAATTTGATATTTTTTTTTAATGCCATTTAGGGCTAATTTTTTTTTTAATTTTATTAGCGAAATATTTCGATGTCAGCGCCAATCATGTCCCGATTTGCTCTATTGTAAATTGGCTAAGCGGTTTCACTAGTTAGAATTTAGCGTAATTCGCGCAAAAAATGCGCGGCTCCTAGACGTGTGTTCATAATACGTCACGTCAGTGACACAAAGAGAAAACAACAGACTTTGGGCTTTCAAGTTTATTTACCAGATTTATCGTTATCCCTGACCAGATACATGTCGATACGTGATATGTAATGGTAAGTAAATTTATATAGAAAACTTTTGATATCGATATCTATATTTAGTGGTTATAAGTTGCTGATTTAATCGACTTTAACAAGTTAATATTGTTACCTTCATTTAACAAGTGAATTGGCTAGAAATAATATGATATTAATAGGTTAATTAACCATGATAAGACAGCTTCAAAGTGAAAAAGTTTTGTATAAATTTAGTTGAAATAAATATTTTTCATTTACAAAACGTTCTAATTTCTTTGTTTTGTGAGTGATGCAAATAAAATATCAGAAATTTAATACAAGCGTCGCTAAAATTGCTTTTGATCAACATGTAAACCTTCACGTATAAGTTTAAAATTTACGTCAGACTAGCTTCCACTATACCTAACATTAACCAATACTATATAATTAAAATTTCATAATCGAATCTTTCATAATTCATTTAATCGTTATTTCTCATTAAGCACAAAATTTGTAAAAAAAAGATACGTAACTTTGTAAATCTTTATCGTAACTATCACGTATTTTTTTTTTTTTACAAATTTGCACTTATTCGTTGAGAAATAGCAGTTTTGGATGTCTATAGAGTGCTCACACCATAATCTTCAATAATTAACCGACTCGCTTTCCAAGCAACCATAGCTGCGGGTGCATTAGTGTTTCCGCTTGGAATATATGGAAATATCGATGCGTCAACAACTCGAAGATTTTTTGTACCATAAACTTGAAGTCGATGATTGACTACTCCATCTTTAGATTCTGGTGCCATTTTTACTGTTCCACTTGGATGAAACGTCGTAACTCCCTAATTACAAATAAGATGGTATTAAATATTTTATATGAATGACTATATGAATGACATCTATTTATCATAATATAAAAAGTACGAACCTTTTCCACAACAAACTTTTCCCATTCTTCATCACTAATATCATCCACGTTGGTGCTCCATTGTCCAAATTCATCATTTATCCCAATTTCCTTAACATTATAAACAGTACTCAATGGTGGCTGCTTAAGTATTTCACGGCATAACTTAAGTGAACTAATCATTCTATATAAATCATCTGATTTTTCGAAAAAGTTTAAATATATTCTTGGTTGATCGAATGGATTGTTACTATTAAGTTCCAGATAACCAACACTTGATGGGACATTAAGAACAGGTAATATAACAATCCCATTGGTATTGAGTCCTTTTATGGAATCGGAATAGAATGGCATCGCTGTTTATATAAAACTATAGTAAGTAAAATATCTATATAAATACATATTTTAACAAAATCATACCAATTATCTCAATATCAGGATTCTCGTCAAAAAAGTCTTCTTTGCTAGGAATCTTTCCTTCAACGTTAGCTTTATGCATTATCCCAACTTCAGATCCACAACTCCAATGGTGAATTACATCTAGATTTGATTTTGCAAAAAAATAAACACTTGGGTGATCCAACAAATTTCTTCCAACGGGCAGTTCTTTACGTATTTTTATATTATTTGCTTCAAGGTTTTCTTTCGGTCCAACACCAGAAAGCATCAATATCTTTAGAGAAAGTAAGTAAAGTCGATTTATTATAACATACAATTATTGCAGCATGATTAATAATTTTTTTATTCTTACCTGAGGGCTATTAATAGCACCACCACAAAGAATAACTTCTCCTTTTGGTGCAATAAAAGCTTCACGCACTGTACCGTTGCAAAAGTATCTTACACCGATCGCAATGTTTTCTTTTTCATTCTCTTCGTCCCAAATAACCTCTAGTACGTGAGAATATGATCTAATATCTACGGCAACAACTTTCCCAAATTTATGTTCTGAACCTGAATGTAATTCGACTTTTTTTAACGCATCTTTTAGATAGCTTTCAGCCAAAGAACATCTTTTTCCTTCTTGGTTTGTAAACTATAAATGCAATTCAATTAGCATGGTTTAATCTTGGTAATGTAATTTAGAAAATCTATATGCGAATTTATTATTTCAGAAACCTGGAATGATCCAACTCCATTTTGTCTTTCACCGTTGAAATCATCATTATAAGGAATTCCAAGGTTTTTCGCAGCATCAATCAAACCTGACATAAAATCGTAGATCCCATTGTGACAATCTTGCACGTGAAGTAAACCATTAAATCCATGTAATTGTTTAAATTTCTCATCCGGGTTTTCTCGTGCATTGTTTTCCATTGCTTTGAACGCTTTTTTTTTCAAATAAATAAATAAATAAATATATCTATATATAATATATATTCCCGAGTAATTTGAATAAATTAAAGTAGTGAAATCATACCTTCCAAACAATGATCCCAATCCCAAATTTTGTATTCAGGACCTTGAGCTGCCCAATCATTGTAACCTTTCGCCTGACCTCGCCTAAATAAAGTCAGATATATTAATTCACATAACTAGAATAAATAAATAACTTTACGAGACTTACAAGTAAAGCATTGCATTCAAAGAGCTACATCCTCCCCAAACCTTTCCGCGTGGATAAGGAATCTTATTTCTTACTATTTCTTTAGTAGGATTTAAACAGCTTTGCACTTTTTGTTCCTGAGTAACATATCCCCAATCATGGTCATTCAGTTGAAAGGCCTACATTACAAAAATAACGCGAGAAATATAAATAAAAACGTGGTTCAATAAAAAAAATCCTGACGAAAGACGAATTGTCACCTTAGTCCAAGTACATGGCAAACTAATTAAACCATTGGAATGAACATCAGGCCCTCCAGCTTCCAATACCAGAATATTAATATTCGGAATGCCATGAATCAATTCTCTGGCAAGCACACATCCCGCAGTACCAGCTCCCACGATAATAAAATCAAAAGTTTCTTTAGTGTTGAATTTTGCGTGTTTATCATGATCACAAATATTTTTCATCCAAAGTTCACGAATTTTTGCATCCCTTGTTAATTCTTCTTGATTTTTTTCAGTTACGAACGGATAATTGTTAGCCATACTTTTTGTCAATTAGATACGTACTGTAATAACTTAGTGATTTAAGCTGTATTTACTGTTTCAGATATTTAAATATTTCCGTTCGAACGGACCATGCATATAATCAGGTTGTGTCTCATGACAAAAGCAGAAGTTGATTTAGGTACGTACGTATAACGATAAGCATTCATTTTTTTTTTTTTAGGAAACTGGTTTCTTTAACAATTGCTTCACATGATGGTCTAGTATCTGAGCGCCATATATAGAGTGACTGATCCTGTTTCTGCAATAAGACTTTAACGTTACCGTTACGGTCTGACTGATGACTGATAAGTAGTAATTGATATCGATATTGCGTTACGTACGTACGTATCAGTGTTGGTCATTTTAAGTCATATCCAGTTTTATATAACCAAGATAATAATACGTAGTTATAAGTTATAGCAGGTCATAAGGTAACAACCTATAATTAGCATATAGGTCATATACTTGCTGACAAAACTATTGAAATTTGGGACGGCTTAAGATAAAACCAGTGTCATTAAATGACGGGAACGTAACACTTATTCAACCCGTCATTTAATGAACGCACATGGCCCGTTATTTAATGGTGGGTATAAACTTCTAATTACACTAACGTTAACATTAAAATTCGATAATTGTATGGGCGAAAATTTTTTGATGGGAATATATTGAGATCATTAAAATTAAGTGATACAATAGAGCCATATACTGACCCGATGAATTGTATACGTAGAATATTCATTGAATGTTCGAATAAACATTATTCACCAAATAATTAAAATACAAAATATATAGTATATTAATATCTATATCAATATATTTATATATAATTTTATATTTTAATAAAAATTACTAGTTTATATATTTAAACTAAAACTTAATTTTATAATATATATTATATTAGGCCATACAAACTTAATAAATTGGTTCTCATAACCCGGCCGGGTCAAATTTCGCAAAATTATTAAAAAAAATTTTGACTATATTTACTATCCGGATGAAGTTTTTTTTAGAAGCTTATAAAAATTTTTATATGCCTTTTATATATATAAATTTTTTAAAAATAATTAAAAACCGGGTTGTTGGGTCATTTTTCAAATTTTATGTTATGAGAACCAAAAACTTAACCTTATACGTATACTGTATTTTAATTTATTTATTTGTTTTAAATTAATAATTTTATTTTACAATTATAATATTCAATGAATATTCAATGAATATTCGAATATATATGAGTGTCGCTAAAAGAAAATCCGAAAATTTAAATATAAGTCATATTTAAATTTTCGGGTTTTCTTTTAGTGACACTCATATATATATAAGATATTGGGCGTACGATAAAAAATAACAGTGAATTTTTTATCAGGATTAATGTCACTCCCATGTGTGTGTAGCAGCACATGAGTAACATTAACTCCGATAAAAAAAATTCACTGGCGTCTTTAAAATAGACCCGAGGTCTAGGTTATTAACCTATGACCAAAAATAAATAAATTAAATTTAAAATAGTCATCATGTGCTAACTAACCCTAATCCTAAAACTAAAATTGAGAGTAGGATAATAACCTAGACCCTGGGTCTATTATAAAGACACCCTTAATGCTTTTACTTTGATCTTACTTTGATTTTACTTTGATTTTACTTTGATTTTACTTTAATCTTATGTTTATTGTTGATTTTATATTTACCATTAACCTTATATTCATCATTGATCTTGATCTTATATTCATATTTAGTTAAATTTATATTTATCAATAAATCTTATAATATTTGCTTTCATTTTTATCACCATTGATTTTGTATTTATCATTGATCTTAAATTCATAATTGATTTTACATTATCATTAATCTTATAATATTTATTGTTTCATATACTGCTGTACTGTCGGCCCTCCCAAAACCGATCCTGTCAAAGCCGATAAACTGCTATAAACGATTAAAATTCGGTCCACCATGTCAGTTCCATAAGTAATATCCGATAACCTGTCATTTCTGATATCCAATATTCAATTTATTTTAAGTTTCCGATATGGTTGATTATACAGTCAGGGCATTTACCAAATTTGGAATTGACGATCTAGAATGATCTATGAAATTTGGCAAAATTTGATTGGCTC